TTTCAAAGAAGTATGTTTAGATGACATTTAGATGATTAAATGTTTAGTTTGGAGACAAGGGAAATATTTTGGAAATTGCATTCCTTCACATCATGAAATAACAGGAATAATCGCAACCCGCCTTCCCGTTTTCCGTCATTGTTTCGTCATCTCAGAATTCCAAGGATTGAAACAACATCCTGCATTTCGAGCAACCATATCTCAGACATTTCGCTTCAGACTCGGAATTCAAATAATGCAGAATATTAATTATATCGTTTTGCTCTTGATGTTGAAGGACGTTGATTTATTGTTCCCGCATTGTGGATTAATTCACGTCCCGTCAACATCGAATGACGTAATACCAAACATCAATAAATTACTCTCCAAGACTCATAAATTACAATAGTATTCATCGCTGATTAAAGCCCGAGTCTAAACAAAAAACTTAAAAGAAACAATAGTTAATGGTGTGTATTATTTTTGTTAAATATGCAAATGATATTTATTTACCGCTACGAGAAAATAGATTATTTGAATTAACATCCTGCATACATATAACATTTGTGCAATTAGAGTTCTATATTCAAATATGCATAACGAACCGGGGGTGACATTAAAAAAATGAATCAATTTGTCATAGTCGTAAAATTAATCGGAAACCATATGTGAATCCTTTTTAGAAAATTATCGGCACTTCTCTGATAGCAACGGGAGAATTTAAATAAATTATCGAGCCTAGTAAATTAGTTCATATTGCTTGGAAAATTTCCTAGCTCAGGCAAAAATTTAATTTTCTTTTTTTTTAATGGAGGCGATGAATTAATATATCTTATGCACTTTATTCTAATGGATCGAAATATGGCGGACTTTTTTCACTGAGTGAAATTCCGGAAACTTAATTCCACAATCCGGAAACCTTATTCCTGATTCCGGAAACTTAATTCCACGATCCGGAATGTACTTTTCGGATTCCGGAAACTTAATTCCACAATCATGATACCTCATTCCCAATTCCAAAAGCTTAATTCCACAATCCGTAATGTACTTTTCGGATTCTGGAAACTTAATTTAACAATCCGGATACCTTATTTCTAATTCTGGAAACTTAATTACACAATCCGGAATGTACTTTTCGCATTCCGTAGTTACATTTTGGACTTTTAATTCCACAATCTGGAATGTACTTTTCGGATTCGGGAAACTTAATTACACAATCTGGATACCATATTCCTAATTCCGGAACCTTAATTCCACAATCCGGAAGATACTCTCGGGATTCCGGATTACTTAATGAAAATCATGATGCCTCATTCCTAATGCCGGAAACTTAATTCCACAACTCGGAATGTACTTTTCGGATTCGGGAAACTTAATTCCCTAACCCGGAACGTACTTTTGGATTCCGGAAACATAATTCCACAATCCGGAATGTACTTTTCGCATTCCGCAGTTATATTTTGGACTTTTAATTCCACAATCCGGATACCTTATTCCTAATTTCGGAAACTTAATTCCACGATCCGGAATGTACTCTTCTGATCCCGGAAACTTAATTCCACAATTCGGAATGTACTTTTCGGATTCGGGAAACTTAATTCCCTAATCCGGAACGTACTTTTGGATTCCGGAAACATAATTCCACAATCCGGAATGTACTTTTCGCATTCCGCAGTTATATTTTGGACTTTTAATTCTACAATCCGGATACCTTATTACTAATTTTGGAAACTTAATTCCACGATCCGGAATGTACTCTTCTGGTCCCGGAAACTTAATTCCACAACTCGGAATGTACTTTTCGGATTCGGGAAACTTAATTCCCTAATCCGGAACGTACTTTTGGATTCCGGAAACATAATTCCACAATCCGGAATGTACTTTTGGCATTCCGCAGTTATATTTTGGACTTTTAATTCCACAATCCGGATACCTTATTCCTAATTTCGGAAACTTAATTCCACGATCCGGAATGTACCCTTCTGATCCCGGAAACTTAATTCCACAACTCGGAATGTACTTTTCGGATTCGGGAAACTTAATTCCCTAATCCGGAACGTACTTTTGGATTCCGGAAACATAATTCCACAATCCGGAATGTACTTTTCGCATTCCGCAGTTATATTTTGGACTTTTAATTCCACAATCCGGATACCTTATTCCTAATTTCGGAAACTTAATTCCACGATCCGGAATGTACTCTTCTGATCCCGGAAACTTAATTCCACAACTCGGAATGTACTTTTCGGATTCGGGAAACTTAATTCCCTAATCCGGAACGTACTTTTGGATTCCGGAAACATAATTCCACAATCCGGAATGTACTTTTCGCATTCCGCAGTTATATTTTGGACTTTTAATTCCACAATCCGGATACCTTATTCCTAATTTCGGAAACTTAATTCCACGATCCGGAATGTACTCTTCTGATCCCGGAAACTTAATTCCACAACTCGGAATGTACTTTTCGGATTCGGGAAACTTAATTCCCTAATCCGGAACGTACTTTTGGATTCCGGAAACATAATTCCACAATCCGGAATGTACTTTTCGCATTCCGCAGTTATATTTTGGACTTTTAATTCCACAATCCGGATACCTTATTCCTAATTTCGGAAACTTAATTCCACGATCCGGAATGTACTCTTCTGATCCCGGAAACTTAATTCCACAACTCGGAATGTACTTTTCGGATTCGGGAAACTTAATTCCCTAATCCGGAACGTACTTTTGGATTCCGGAAACATAATTCCACAATCCGGAATGTACTTTTCGCATTCTGTAGTTATATTTTAGACTTTTAATTCCACAATCCGGATGCTATATTTTGAAAAATTAATTGCACAATCATGATACCTCATGCCTAATGCTGGAAACTGAATTCCACGATTCGGAATGTACTTTTTGGATTTCGGAAACTTAATTCCACAATCCGGATACCTTATTCCTAATTTTGGAAACTTGATTCCACGATCCGGAATGCTCTTTTCGGATTCCGGAAACTTAATTCCACAACCCGGAAGGTACTTTTCGTATTCCGTAGTTATATTTTGTTATTTTAATTCCACAATCCGGATACCTTATTTCTAATTCTTGAAACTTTATTCCACGATCCGGAATGTACTGTTGGATTTGGTTTTCCTTTGTCTAAATCTATCGTAATTCACGAAACTAGTCTAGAATTTGTCCCATAATCTATCGTGACTGACGCGATCAAGACGTGCACTCTGAGAAAACAGAATCGGCTTTTTAAGGCAGGAACCAGAATCTAATATTGGAATCGCTGCTGATATTCTTGCCCGAAACGAAAGATTTGTAAATTAAGAACTCAACGGTCTATTCCTTATCCAGGGTGCTCTCTGAGGGAAGGAATTATCTCCGTAGCTTAGCCTCAGGTGTAATAAAAGCTCCTGTATACACCTGGGGGGGGCAGAGTATAGGAAAAGGAAATCTTTACCACGAAGTCCTCTCGTGAGAGCTCCCTCAGGGAGGTCCAAGTGGCAATGGACTAGGGAGTGAGTTCGTAACCATCCTTCCCAAGGAGCTCCTCGAAGCATGTCAGGCCACGAACTGAGGAGTTTGAATCGTGTAGCGAGCTATAAGAGTTTCGCTCTGTCGCGGTACGAAGAGAGCGAGTGGTGGGGGGAGCGACTGCACGCGGCACAAGTTACTTGCGCGTTCGCTACTCTCTCCTTGCATTCACGCTGAACGCGACGACGATGGCTGTACTGTACAATGCATGCTATTTGCTATATTATAGCCCATCGTTACCCAATTTTTTCAAATTCTATTTTCCTGAACTGTGGGATCCTGGATTGGTTAGGAAAGCAATCTTCTATTGTTAACTTTGGCAATCTTTGAAAAGTTCATGTAACTAAATTTGTTTGACATGGGGATGGATTATTTAATTCCGGATTCTGCGTTCCGGACACCTAATTCCCCATACCGGATTTTAAATTTCATCTCTCATTTTCCAAATTTTGGATTCTGCATATTAAACTCCATTACCACATTTCGGATCCTACAGTTTTGATTACGTATAAAATTTTTAATTTTCAAATTAAGGATTTATGGAATTCTAGATGAGTTACGTAATCGGTGACAATTTTAATTAATCCTCGACTATTTTGAGTTCCATATGAGATGAAATAAATATCTAAACATAATTCCAAGTTTCCTTTTTCGAAAACACTCGTTCGTATTCTCGCGTGACGAAATAGTGCAGGTCAGAGTGGAACGTGCTCGGTCAACCCACCGTGTTGGTTATGTGTTGTTTATACGAGGGATAATTTATTACCTACCCACCTAACGCACTTTCCACCACTCGAGAACCTAGGCAAAGAGAGGGCCAACAGGACTTTGTCAACTCTCTCCAACATGAGAATTGAAATTCTTCCCTCCCTTGAAAATAAATGGCACACCCTTCTATAGGTGTGAAGTAGTTTCATCATTCGACAACAATCCGTCTAAATTAAATTTACCCTACACATTTTTTTTTTTCTCACAGGGAAATTTCAACTTTTGTAATTCATATTACGTGCTCTGCATGAACAATGTAAATTTTCCAATGAACAATAATGTGGTCTCGTTAACAGAAGTTAGTTTTCAGTATTGACTTTCGAAGGTAAGGAGAAAAAGTTGAATTTCTCCAAGGAAAAGTAAGCGTTGTGAATGGCAAAAGGGGATGAAGTCCCCTGTGTAGAAAATTGTGGAACGAGTTGAAAATTCTTTTTATGAATTGAACTAGTTTGGAGAGAGAGAGAAAGAGACGATGTTCACTCTCTTTACCGCACGTCAAACTCTTGTTGTGAATTCAATCGAAAAAGTTTCATGTTATAAAATTAGAAACATTGGAAAAATCTGGACATTTTTTAATCGTCAAGGGATTATGAATAATATCACACGAATGAAAATAATTTTAATTAAGTGGGAACAACATTTTTTTCTATTTCAAGTTTAACAAAAAAATGTCTATTTCTTTAAATTCTCAATAAGTTGCAGTAATCTTTGTGTTTTTTTAGGACCTTCCTTCTGGGGCCTCATAAATCCTCAATGGTCATTGTGCAGTAAAGGAAGACGGCAAAGTCCCATCAACATCGAGCCGGACAAGTTGCTCTTCGACCCACACCTGAGACCAGTGCATGTGGACAAACACAGGGTAATTTGTCAATCTTTCTTTCCTGACATTTCTTGTCTTTTTATGCTCCTACGGGATTCATACAACTCGAGAGCGAAATGTGAACCAAAATGCTTGTCGCTTTCAACTTTCCATTCCTCCTAAATTAAGATGAAATACTACTGTTGATAAATGTTCGCTACAGGAAGGAAATGTCGCTGGGATATAAATCCGATTCTCCCCAGCGGATGTTCAATTTTCACAAATTTCCCATCTATGCAAAACAAAAAACCTTTTTTTGAATACAGCGATGAATGGTTTTAGAAAATATTTTTTTTAATCTTTAATTCCTCCCTTTATATTTACCTCAAAGTTAATTTTCCCTGAAATTGAATTTAATTACCGGAAAGTTGCAGTTTTTTAAATCCATGTTTCTTACCTTTTGAATTTTTTTTTTTATTATAGTTAAAAATCTGAATGGAAGTCACTTTTCTCTTATGGGTGTTTGAAATATATTTTTGAACTAGAATCGATTAGCGTCAAAGAGATGAGCCATAACTTTTCAAGCATCGACTTGCCTTGGGTTCTTATCGCTTGAAAACAGAGGGCAGAACGATGGTTCGATCATAAACTACTTCCATGTTAGAGAAACACCGTCTGCATATGAAAGTGAACCACGATGTGCAGGATAAGAAGTACGAGATGCTGTAAAAGTCAGAATTTTCTTGGAAACAAGGACTTTTAACGTCTAACAGTATTTTTTTAGCAAGAGAATCCTTCCCAAATGTCTTATTAAAAATAAATTTTTGAAAATTAATAATAATTAAAAAGACCGTCTGAAAATAGTTTTAAAAATACTTTTATAAACACTATTAAAAAAAAGGTACATTTATAATGAGGGAACTTAATTTGCGACTACAAATCGGACATTTGGTTAAGTGTTTAAATAATTTCCAAAAATTTCTATTTAATAAAAAAGAGTACCAATTTTTTTGAAGAAATTCTTTCTTAATAATCTATAAAGAGCGGAACGTTAATTGTCATCGTTTATGATGGTAGTAGATCTTAAAGTTTTTTTTTCTCTTCTTCTTTTTCTTTAGTTTTTCTTTTCCTTACTCTTGGCAATTTTTCCAGGGCATCTTCTTTAATTCGATAATAGAGTTATTAATTACCCACTTCCCTCCTCGTAATGTGCAGTCTCAACTGCCTCCTTAGCAGTAACTAAAGACGCTTGAAACACTAATTTTCCATTAAGTAAACATTTATTCAGATTTCCTTCGGCTCACCAACTTCAGGAGCTTCCGCGTTGTGTAATATACCGTGAACCTTTATATCCCTTTAAAAACAATTTTATTCAAAATTTTGTTCCCCCTTTTTCTGTTTTATTGCCTCGTAAATTTTTTCTAATTCCATTTTAAATCTGCAACTATATATTAAAATGTTAACCCTTATTGCTCATCTTGGATGTTTGACACCCAGACATAAAAATACGTTTTTTCATATTTCTTTTCGAATTTGATTTTTTTAAATAAGGATCAAAAAATTACAATGAAAATATTTTTTTATAGAAAAAGTGGGTTATTTAAGTTAATTTTTTTTTAAAGATAATATACGATTCAAGCTTTTAGAACGTTGTTTTAAGCCTTAGTGTCAAACACCCAGGCTGTTTTGGAGGCTTATTTTATAATATTTTTATGTAAAATAAAATCATGTAAAAGATTTTTTTCATCGTTTTATTTATGTTGATATTTTGAAAAAAAATTTCTGAGAAAACTATTGAGTACTTTAATTTAAAAATTATTGCACATATAAAGGGTATTTTAAACTTTATTTTAAAACAAATATTTCACAAAAATTGACATTTTTTATCAAACGGTGTAGTTTCTCAAAAAATGGATCAATTTGCACAATTACAGTATGATTTGAAAGCTAAATACATGCGCTTTAAGATAAAATTATTCAAATATGAATTATTAAATGAGATTCAATTAATAGAACCGATGAAAATAAAACAAAAATTTTTCAAAATTGACATTTTTTATAAAACGGTGTAGTTTCTCAAAAAATGGATCAATTTGCACAATTACAGTATGATTTGAAAGCTAAATAGATGCACTTCAAGAGAAAATAATTAAACTTTGAATTATTAAAAAGAAAATAATTATTTGAACAGATGAAAATGAAACAAATATTTTTCAAAATTGACATTTTTTATAAAACGACATGGTTTCTCAAAAAATGGACCAATTTGCATAATTCCGGTGTATATTGAAAGCTAAATACATGCGCTTTAAGATAAAATTATTAAAATATGATTTATTAAATGAGATTCAATCAATAGAACAGATTAAAATGAAAGAAAAATTTTTCAAAATTGACATTTTTTATAAAAGTGTGTAGTTTCTCAAAAAATTAATCAATTTACAAAATTCAAGAGAGCTTTAAAAGCTAAGTAGATATACTTTAAGAGAAAATTATACAAATTTGATTTATTACAAAAAATATAATCATTTGAACAAATGAAAACGAAACATAAAATTTTCCAAAATTAACAGTTCTTATAAAACGGTGTAGTTTCTCAAAAATAAATCAAATTGCATAATTCAAGGGAGCTTTAAAAACTAAGTAGATGCACTTTAAGAGAAAATTATACAAATTTTATTTATTACAAAAGATATAATTATTTGAATAAATGAAAATGTAACAAAAAATTTTCCAAAATTAACAGTTTTTATAAAACGGTGCAGTTTCTCAAAAAGTGAATCAATTTGCATAATTTTAGAGAGCTTTGAAAGCTAAGTAGATGCACTTCTAGAGAAAATTATACAATTTTGGTTTATTTAAAAAAATTCAATTATTTGAACAAATGAAATTGAAACAAATATTTTTCAAAATTGACATTTCTTATGAAACGGTGTAGTTTCTTTAAAAATGGATTAATTTGCATAATTCCGGTGAATTTTTAAAGCTAAGGAGATGGACTTTAAGATACAATTATTTAATTTTAATTTAATATAAAAAGATGTAATTATTTCAAAGGATAAAAATGAAACATAATTTTTTCAAAATTGACATTTTTTTGAAAAAAATGTAGTTTCTCAAAAAATGAATCAATTTGCATAATTCCAGGGAGCTTTGAGAGCTAAGTAGATGCACTTTAAGAGAAAATTATACAAGTTTGATTTATTACAAAAGATATAATTATTTGAATAAATGAAATTGAAACAAAACATTTTCCAAAATTAACAGTTTTTATAAAACGGTACAGTTTCTCAAAAAGTGAATCAATTTGCATAATTTCAGAGAGCTTTGAAAGCTAAGTAGATGCACTTCTAGAGAAAATTATACAAATTTGGTTTATTTAAAAAAATTCAATTATTTGAACAAATGAAATTGAAACAAATATTTTTCAAAATTGACATTTTTTATGAAACGGTGTAGTTTCTCTAAAAATGGATTAATTTGCATAATTCCGGTGAATTTTTAAAGCTAAGGAGATGCACTTTAAGATAAAATTATTTTAATTTAATTTAACATAAGAAGATATAATTATTTCAAAAGATAAAAATGAAACATAATTTTTTCAAAATTGACATTTTTTAGAAAACGACATAGTTTTTTAAAAAATGGATCAATTTGCATAATTTTAGTGTTTTTTTAAAGCTGAATAAATGCACTTTTAGATGAAATTATTCAAATTATATTTATTACAAAAGATTCAATTATTAGACATATTTTTGACATATTTTATTTATGAAAATAATTTTTTTTAATCTTCTATAAAGAATTTGCTTTTCCAAAGTGAGGTATCTTGCGGTGAGAAGAATATTTCTGGACTGGATCATCTAAAATGAAAAGACCAAAAAATTTTCGTTAATATGAATCGAAAAAAATAATTGATGAGAAAAAATTGTTTCGTCCAAAGGGAATGGGTGTTAAGAAGTTTTTTTTCTTTATATAAAGCGTAAGGAGCATCAAAAAATCAAGAGAGTTGTGTCAGACCTTTGGAACTATTAATGTGAGCTACTGTACGACTTTTGGAGAGTAAAACAAATCGTAGAAGGTAAAGTAGCGGCACTTTCGTAAATAGCCTGGTCGAGGTTCAAAAGGCAAGCATTTCACGCCAAGAAGACACGAATCGTCGTCGTCGTCGTCGCTGCTTTTTTTTATTCTTTTCAACACTTTTCCTCTCTTTCTAGGGCTCCAACGTTGAACTCTCTTCTATCTCAATTTTTCTCCAAACGACAGAACGCAAGAGTAGCACAAGCTCATAGGATGCATTCTATCACCTTTGCATCCTGCTTCAACCCTCTGGTTCTCTCCATTGTTTGATCCTCGCCGACAAAACGTGAAAGAAAAAGAAAATGGATAGAGTGAGATGAATGTAAAAAAGAAAGAAAAAGAGAAGGAAGAAAAAAATCATGGCGAAAAAGAGAGTGTGGAAAAAAAAGAAGTTTTTTAAAGCGCTCACACAGCCTATGATCTTTGGAAGCCTCAGCCATTTGGCGATAACCACAAGAGATGAGTCGAGGTGTCGTCCTCTCCTCCCCTCTCTTGGCTTTAATCGCAGACTGTCAGTCGCCCTTTACTAGCTTTAAAATCCCCTTATACTATCCTACACCGAACACTATAGAGAGACCAGAACTTCTCCCACCTTCTTGAAACGCCAAGGCGAATTTATACGCCGTTTAACCCGGTTAAAACTTTGGCACTTAAATTAAACAATAGAACGAACACCCCCTCTTGAACGTACGTCTTTGGTAAAGGCGGCTTTACTTTCTCCTGTTTTCTTTCTCTAGAATGCTCCATCCTTTTTCACCATCGAAAGATCTCAAACTTTATGTTTTTCTTTCTTTTGTTTTCTTTCACACACCAAGAAAAAAAAAAGAATAACTCACGTGCGCATTAACACCTGCGATCATGAATTAACTTCTTAACGCCCCAGGAGAGACAGAATCTGTAAAATATATTCAAAACCTCATAATTTAATATTGCGAAGGCTATTTACTGTGGAAGGGAATTAAAATAATGGGTTCTGATTA